AGTGGCAGAGGACATCCAAGATGACATGAGAATTCTCTGAGACACCATAAAATGGACTAAATAAATGAATGCTACCTTCTTCCCAACCTGCAATAGAAGAAATCCCCTTCGCTGGCAGGAGAAAGCACTTTGAAGACTTTGCTAGCACTCACACCTCACCATCCAGTCTCACAGAGCACCTGTGTGTCAATTTACAGAACCACAGAATTACCTTGGTTGGAAGATCATCGAGTCCAACTGTTAATCTAATACTGACAAGTCCTCCACTAAACCATATCTCTAAGTACTATGTCTATAAAACTCTTATAATACCTCCAGGGATGGTGAGTCCACCACTGCCCTAGGCAGCCTGTTGCAATGCCTGATAACCTTTCAGTGAAGGCATTCCTCTTAACAGCCAGTCTAAACCTCCGCTAATTTATTTGGGTTGTCACATACCCTGCACACGAGACAAAGGGTTCCTATAATCCAGACCAACTTGAGGTCTCCAATTCTTTTCAGGCTCCTCCTGACAGGCTTGAGAGGTGGGCACGTGCAAACCTCATGAAGCTCAATAAGTCTAAGGATAAGGTACTGCACATGGGTTGGGCAATCCCAAGCACAGGTACAAGTTGGGTGGAGAACGGATTGAGAATAGCCCTCAGGAGGACTTGGGGGTGCTGGTTGATTAGAAGCTCAGCATGAGCCAGCAATGTGCCTTTGCAGTGGAGAAAGCCACTTATGTCCTGCATCAAAATCATGGGCTGCATCAAAAACACTGTGGCCAGCAGGTTGAGGAAGGTGATTCTCTGCCTTTAATCTGCTCTCGTGGCACCTCACTTGGAGTACTGTGTCCAGTTCTGAAGCCCCAGCATAGGAAAGACATGGAGCTGTTGGAGGAAGTCCAGAGGAGGGCCATGAAGGTATGGAGCACCTCTCCTGTGAAAACAGGCTGAGACAGTTGGGGTTGTTCAGCCTGGAGAAGAAACCTTATAGTGGCCTTCCAGTAACTGAAGGGGCTACAGGAAAGCTGGGGAGAAACTTTTTACAAGGGCATGTAACAATAGGACAAGGGGTAACAGATTTAAACTGGAAGAGGATAGATTTCGATTAGATATTAGGAAGAAATTCTTGACTGTGAGGTTGATGAGACACTGGCAGAGGTTGCCAAGGAAAGTTGTGGCTGCCCCATCCCTGGAAGCACGCAAAGGCAGGTTGGATGGGGCTTTGAGCAGCCTGGTCTAGTCAGAGGTGTCCCTGCCCAAGGTAGGGAGGCTGGAACTAGACGATCTTTAAGGTCCCTTCCAACCCAAATCATTCTATGATTCTATGATTCTATTATTCTTTTCTAATTCAGTCTAAGCTACTGCAACTCACTCTATTGAAACACAGATGAAATTTCCCAGGCTGTTTCACAGTGAGAAATCTGAGATGAAGGTATCATGTGTTTCACCCACCGTATTGCCTCTTCATGCACAGAAGAATCAAGTTCAAGTCCCTGTCCTCTGTAAAATAAAACTAATGTATCATATCCCATCTTACCGCACCCCTTTCCAAGCTGTGTGAGATTCAGGTAGACCTATCATTGTAACATGTGTCTGGAGTCTCAGAAGACTCTGGGTGATCTGAGAATGTCTGAAACCCTTGGCAAAAGTGGACAGGCTGAATTTGAAGTGTTAAACAAGAGTGTAGGATGATATGCCTCTTTCCCGTGAATATATAAAAAATTTAAAGGATATAAAGAAATTTAAAGGCCAAATCTTTCAGAACATCTTCTCTAATTAATTTTCTTCATGGACAATCCTTGACGTCTATTCAGATGCTGAAGGTAATGAGGGCTAGATGTTGGAAATAATTATATTTCTTCAGTATCTTGTTTCAAATCCTGAATTAATTCCCTAATAAACATCCAAGTAGTATTTCCATTCCAGACCTCTGTAAGTACTGGTCTTCTTCTCTGTAAGTACTGGCAGAATTCAGTGTTTCATAATTCAAAGGATAAAGGAATCAGAAACTGAGATAATCCCAAAATAATATAAGTAGACTCTGATGTTTAAATTTGATGATCCTAATATTTGGATAAATTCACTTCCATCAGAGTTTCAGCTGGTGTGACTATAACTCCTTCGCAGGTTTTTAATTCTGTTTCTATTTATGCATCTTTATAGCATTTGCAGTGGAAATCAGATTTTTGAGTAATGAATTTAAGTCTCTTGACTAAAGTACTGTTTTTCTTAGTTACCTTTGCAGATTCTTCAGAGGATGCCCAGAACACAGGTAGAAAACCATAGCTATAACAAGTAAATGTCATAAAGTAAATGTCATAACTGGATATACCAGGGAGAGAAGATAACAGCAAGGTGCTGCCTAATTTGAAAAATTACGTTCATTTGTACAATCTGTCACACAAATCATCAAGATAAAATGGTACCCAGCAGCTGGCAGATAACATGTGGCACTCTCCTATGCACCACTCACTGTTCTCTCTTCTAAATAGCTTATGCTAGCTGATTGCCAAGGAGAAGCACAGACAAGGCCAGCTCTCAGCAGCAGTGATACTTGGCTGCAAAAAGGACACGGGCACTAGTACTGACAACATGAGCTGCTCATACAGGCAGACAAGTATACAGCCTGTGTTTTACATGCTGCAGGTGCCAGCTGAAGACAACTGCAGCAGGCCTTATCCCAGAGCATTACTGGGATGAAAGACCTCACTGGGCATGGTCCCTCACTGGGCATGGTCCCAGACAATCTGATCTGACCATACAGATGCTTACAGCTGAAGGGTGGACTAAGACCTCCCAAGGTTGGATCTTGAAAGATCCGATGACAAGATGGTAACAGTATGTCTCATTTTCACTGTCTGCTAGTGGGAGGAGTACACTGAAAAAAGGCAAGAATATTAGTAAATACCTCTTCTCAACTCAGATCTCCACACTTAATCTCTACAGAGATTAAAAAAAACAAGTGCAAACACATGGAAAAGCAAGGCACAGAGAATTACAGTTCACAAAATACTAGCCTTCAAGTCCTATTAATTTCTATCTTTTAGATACTTCTCCTCTCCCCTAAGTAGACTGACAGGACAGTGCTCTGCAAACAGCCTCCCTCTGGTTCAGTGTCTTTTCCTTCTGATACAGAAATCATCTGTGAAAGGGGTTAAAACCAAATCAGGGTATGAAGGACAGATCCCAACCCCTGCAAGGTTCAGCTGGTCTCAGCAGATCTCAGAACATCACTGGTGCTGCAATTCTGCACTCAGCCCTTGCCCACATTTGATCCTCCTGCTACACAGCTGTCTGCCAAATACAAACATCAGCAAAACTATTGGCATGTTAAGTCAAATAGAAATGCTCAGGGGAGGGTCACAGAGGAAGTGTATCTCCTTCTCTAATTACAGGTAGATTGGCAGGACTTACACCAGTTCTGTCTGGCAGAGCACAGGCAGTAAAAAGCCCTTCTGGCGGGCTCCAGCCAGCATCCATTGTCTTCTAAGGCACACTTCTTGGAAGGAAAAGTGCTAGGTGGTAAAATACACTGATTTAGTGGGAGATCACTAATTACAAAAATCCACACTTGGAAAAGAGGAAACAAATAATATTGCCTTACGCTATACATTCACCTTTACCTCTGCTGTGTTTTAGTTCCTCATCCCCACCCTCTAACCAACGCAATGAACATCACATGTCATCGTCATTTGCTTCCTTTTAACGAGAGAACCTCACGGTCATCCTGACCTCTTTCCAATTAAGGAACCTTTAGTTTCATTGTCGAGTTACATATTTAATATGCTACTGAACATGCACATGCCCATATATATTAGCTACAGTTTCACTTTAAGAAAGTAATTTCAAAGTGAAGAAAGACCAAACAGTACTTTTTCTGACATCTTCAAGGTAGTTATTATGCTGCAAATTCCTCATTTGCATTTATCAAATCTCATGACAAGCTCAAAGACTTATTCTTAGAATGCACCTTTAAAACTGTCTACAGCATCTGTGCTTCTCCACATGAACACAGAATTTAGGCTTGTAAATCCCACAAGTTTTAAAAGCAGTTCCATACTCAAGTCCCATTGAATCCAGACAATTTTCATGGTACACTTAAGTCATCAATGACCACAGTCTGGGGAGAAAACCTTTTAAAGCAATCTGCTATTCATCATGTAAAAATGGTGACTTAATCACTAGAAGTCTGAAGTTTTCAAGACCTGAAGTAAAAATTACCCATGGCAAGCAAACTACTACTGGCTGTCCAAAGCAAGTATCTAAACATTAATTAATTTATCAAATGTAAAACGAGCCATGTCCAGTCAAATCCTGGATGCTTTTAAAGGCAAAACCAGAAAGATAAAAAAATGTGCAGCTAGGAAGACAAACAGCCTTGATAGGCAGATTAAAAATTTTTTTAAATTCTGATAGGAATTTTCTCTGCATTGAATCGATACACACAGCATAGATACTAATGTAATTCTTTAAAGAGACAGCTTCCATGACTCAAGGTTAAAAGTTCTTTTTTTTTTATAAGTCCTTCATACCAAATAGCTACATATTCTGATAAGGAGGGGGAGATACAAACATTTGATCTACAATAGATCACGAGATGTGCTCATAATTAGGAAGCTATTCTCATTTGTATTGCCCTTATAAAGTGGAAGAGCCATGTCCAAGGTTGTCCTTACAGGCATCTTTAACATGAAGCTACAAATGACATGTTTCTTCTTTTTTGATATTACCTTCCTTGGTGATTAATTTCAACAAAAGTTTTAAAAGCTAATCAGTATGAAGTCCAGAATGAGAGCTTTTTCACACACACAATGAAGTTGCCTCTGAACAGAGGAGAAAAAGAAACACTGTGCTCTGCCTGCATATTCACATGCAAAGTAACAACTCCCCTTCCCCACTACCACGTTGACATCATGCAGCATCTGCCTTCGACTTTTTGCATATGCATTGAAAAGACACACAGCTCAGAACAGAAAGAGACAGTTTTTAAATCAAAATAACCATTTTGTTACTTACAGCATTTGATAAAATGGTAATGAGACATTCTTTCATTTCAGGCTGTAGTCTTTCCACAGGTTTCAACATTCTCTTCTGCTACAACTGTCATGCCCAGAAAATGCATTATTTAGAGCCCTTCCTCAGGTATCTGGTATACCTCAGAATACATTATTTAACGTGGTGTCTGTTCCAGGATCTTGCAGAGGCTTCCAAGTCATCCTCACCCGACTGCTGGAGTTACGATAAACCTCTGTGCGTCTTGAACCATGACTACTGCACGTGCTATTGTAGTACCGTTGATTGACACTGCTCCTAATCCCACATCCCCAGGAATAGAAAGATTTAATTGGTGTGCACTTGCAGCCACATTCTTCCAGCACTGAGGTGTGCTGCTGCACTGCGGCTCTCGCAGTCCTGCCAGTTAATGGCTTTTCAATAGCTTTCAAATGGCAGCAAACTAAGCTTGATGAGTGGGCTCAAATGAAATAGCGGAACAAGGGATCTTAAATTTTATTTATGCATGCTGTTGGTGTGCCAAATGTGACCAGATTCTTAGCTAGTACTAAAAAAAGGATTATTTTTAGTTGCTACCAGTTGCTGTGTGAAAAGGAAATTGATATAGGCTACCAAAAATAATCACATTTTAGCATCACAGATCATTTCTCAGTATGTTGTAAGGTAAAAGTCAGGATAGAGCTCACAGCCATCTTCAGATTTTCCTAAATGGGTGCATTTAAACTGAGCTAAGAAAAACACTTGTGTGTACATTCCTTATTATGTTCTTGTTTTGTCACTTATTTGTATTACATTGCATCTTCTTCACAGATGAAATATTTCTGACAGAAGAATGAAACTGCAAGCTCTGCAGGGTTTATATCATGATTATGTGCATGTTATCTAATGATATTCTAATCACTGACTGTAAGACAAAATGCCTAAGAAAATGCATCACTAAGAACAAGTTCATACAGTAATTTATCAGAGTGCAGAATAGCAAGTCAGTGTATACTGACGCATTACCCAGTTTCAGATTAAGGGCACACAAAAGGCAGACCTGCATTGTATTTTAAACACCCAGACTGCATCATCCTCTGAGCACAAATTCTGCATTACTCTACCAAGAACAGTCACTGAGGAACTGGGTTACTAGTTCTTTGAGAAGCCTGCAGCAGAAGTACAGTAAAATATTTTCATAAAATCAAATAATAATTTCAGAAAAAGATGCTCAGAGAAGATTTACATTTGCTTACCACGTGTCATGCTTACCACAGTCATCACTTCACTGAATGAGAAGTCTCGTAAAGAGAAACTGATAGCCCAGCCATATTTAAATCTTACACTCACCTGAATGGTTCTTACCTGCTACATTTTGTATATGCATCATTTTTACCAGATACAAAGTGTTGAAGTGACTACAAAGAGTAAAGTGTTTAACTCATTAGTGAGACTAATGCAGATTCTAGTAACTATTCTGCAAAGTTCCCACAAGAGTAGAAATATATATATATTCACAGGTTTCTAGTGATCCATTAGCAAAACCCATTGGTGAAATCTCTAAGCTCCTAAATTTGGTTTTAGGTATAATATGCACAACAGTAGCTTTGTAGGACTAATTATGTAGGTGTTTTTTTTTTCCTGGAAACATTTCTTCAAAAGAAGGAGAAAAAAATATCTACAAATAACCAGGGGGAACAGGGATAAATTATATAAAACAGAATACAGTAATTACATTACCATGGAAACTTTTTACTGTAAAGCTCAGACGTTGAAAGTAATTAAATGTATCCAGACTTTCTTTCACACCCATATAACACTAGGCTAGTTTGGGCCATACGGCTTATAAAATAAACATGCAGAATGTTTTAAGAGGCAATGTTAGTCACAGTTCATGAGCAAGTGTCAAGTAATGTGACAAACAGCCCTTTGAGCAATACTTTTTGGCAGAGACACTTCTGACAGGTTCATCTCTGATGGTACTCTCAGGCTGACAGACTGCCCTGTCTAATAAGATCACTCTTCCACCAACCAATGCTGGCTGAAACCAGGAGGACTCAATGAACACTGGTGAAACGGACAAAAGATGCTCTTCTGAATAAAGAGATAAAAGGAAGAGGAAACATTTCTGACTCAGACTTGGAAAAAATATGGCAGAAAAAGTATTTGGATCTGTCTCATTTCATGTTTAAGTAGATGTTTATCTATTGAATTGCCATAGTGAAAATTGAGGATGGTGGAACTTACTGGCATTTATGTGACAGTTTAACACTGCATACTCTATCCTGCAAGCAATGGGAGAGAAGCATAGACCCTTGCAGTGAGTATTGTTGAAGATCAAAATGAAACTTTGGTTTGCTTGCATCTAGACATTTAGAGTTCAGACAGACTAGGCCTTGGTTTGCGTTTTGCTTACTCTAAGTACTTGAGATACTGGAACCTTAGGCTGCCCAGAACTACTGTTGTACTTTGGTTAAACTGTTACCTGGAAAAGTACTAAGGATAGATTAATAAAGTGAAAAAGCTCAGAAGCAAGCCCTCATGACAGTAAGACAATACCACACAACAGGAAGAGGGCCAGCTGAAACCCGAATCCGAGAAACTATAATTCAAGAAACAAAGAAAGAGACTATTCTACCAGGAGACAGCAGAAGACCAATTAATTTCAGGTGCATCTGGAACAAAATATGAAGTCAAAGGTAAGAGAACAATCACCTTGGGAGAAGATGTACTTTAAACAGACTGTTAGGGTAATGGATTGTGTGCACGTCGCGTGGACTGATTGTGAGGCCTGAAAGGGTCTCTGGTGGGGTCCCTCTTTGCAGGCACCCAGCTTGAGCTGCAAATATACTGAATCTGTGTCAGAACCTAGGGTCTGAACTATTCTTTAGAATCGGAGACTAAGACTGGATCCAGCTGCACCTAGATCCAATCTAAGAAGGAGTTTATGGAGCAAGGGAGCCAGTTTGAACCTCACAACTTGGAGGGAGGGTCTTTCCAGACTCCAAGTGTCCCAGCCAACAACTATCAAGGTACAGGATAAACTCTTTAACATATATTTACGTCAGAATAACTGGGAACAGAGACCTGCTATTCACACAGGTAACACATCTCCAATTCCTTCTCTCCTAAAGTGCAGTAGTTCATGTAAGCAGGGAAGCATATAGGACTGTTTGACTAGGGAGGGTCTGCAATGCTACGTCATAGCTGGGGATTGCACTTTTCAGCTGGATCTTTGGACTGTTCAAGGCCATGGGGCAGTATGTACCCACTTACAGCAGGGCTCTGTGGCCTCTGTCCTCCGGGAGCCCACAAGCCAAAAATGTGTGGTTATTTGCTCAAGTATTAATGTCAGTCTGCAGGTGAATGAAAGAAAGGCAACAACTTTTTAAGAGGTGACACCTATCAAAAAGCAATCTCAAAAGCCCTTTCATTTTAGAATACTGCATATGCTTTTAAATATTTTTTTTACTATATAAAACATTTAGTTTTATTACATGGGTAATTATCATTAGTGGTCTTTGCAAAATAAGTGAAAGTTTAAATGGAAAGAAAACACTATTGTATATTGCTGTCAGCAGAAATTTTTTATGCTTGTTGAAGGGTAGCATTAAAGGTGTACAAAAATAAGGAGGGAGGAAAGGTCCCAGAGATATGTGAAAATTAAAACACTAGGCAGATAAAGGGAATTAAATGGAGAATGAAGAGAAATGAGAACAAGGGATAAATGCTAGTGTAGAAAAAGGATTAATCTTGAGGACAATTGGCAGCTAAACTTCAGGCAAAAGGAAGCCAGAATAGGAATACTGAAGAGGGAGAAATCTGGTCCAACTGTTGGAAAGACATATGATTTCCACTGCAGCTTTTTGCAAGGCTACAGGATACAGGAAGAGCAGATAGAGAATGAAGTGCAGTATTCATGGTAGTGGGTGTCCATCTCATAAGCAAAGATTTCACGTATGAGTTCCTGACTGAACTTCAGTGATGAAAAAGGAATACTTAAAAAAATAAAATAAAATATATGAATGACACTTAAAACCCAGCCATTTAAAACTATGGAAGTATATCTGGACAAGCTCTAAGCACACTGTAAAACTGCTTCCTCTGAACATTAAGGAACATAGGCACATTTTCACTCACATCCCCACTGGTTTCAAGAAGACTACATCAGTGTGTAAGTATACAAAGAGGCACAAGTGTACTTGGACTGGGGTACAAAAACTGAGCTGGTATCAAGCCTGGTGACAAAACACTTAACATTGATGTATCTGATTTTGTCCATCTTACCAGTAATAGAGATAAAATAGAAACGAGGTCAGAAAACAAGATACATTTAGCCCTTCTGGAAAAATTCTTTGCCAGCTCTCTCTACAGAAAGAAAACAGCCACTTCCATGCTATGTGCAAATCCAGCATTCAGTGAAATTACAGATTTTTAAGACAGAATCTTGGAACTGGTAGTCGTCACTAGCATAAGTGATATAAACACACATTTAAAAATCATAATCTCAGAGTAGACACTGCTTCCATATCTCAATTTCCGAGGCTTAAAGCTTGTCTTAGAAAAAGCACCTATGAAATGTTTCCTACAACAACCTAGCAAACAAAAACAGTGCTTAAGTTAAGATCTTGCTGCCAAGAACTGACATGTTGTTTTGTATTGATGTCATGTAAATATTTTGTTACTCTTCCAGTGTCTCCTGGTGTCACAACCAATTAAGGATCAAATATTTTGTCCAGCTTAGTATTTTATAATTCACATATACCTGTAAGATTTGACAGAGAAATGCAGATCTCTCTGAAAGCAGTTTGTATGAGAAAAACACCGTAACTACTGGTTTTAGAAACATGACAGATGCTCTTCATTTATGTAATTTTCATTCAGTGCAACAAAGCTTGCTTTATTCCTTCAGATGTTGCAATTTCATTGCATTACTTATGGGTTTAAGGCTGCAGATGAACAGATAAATAAATAAATGCAGAGTAACACTAGCATTGCTCATATACTTTTACAATAGGTACTGCTTAGCAATCAATCTTTGGTCATGCTATCCAGCTGCCAACAAGCCATGCTTCAGAAAACATCTGGCAGTTGTGGGCTCGTCAGGAAGCTAGGGATGAGCTATAGCAGATGTAGATGCTTAGCAAGGATGGCTCTATGGTAATTTGCCCTCCATGCGTCACAGCAGAACAAAACACAGCATTTTATTTCTGAGTAATTTTTCAGATGAACTATCTTGTAAGATGAATGAGAGGTTTGCTCCATAGATAGTAGCAAAAAAACACAGA